TGCTTCATGTTCATTATCATTCATCTAATAAACAATTTCATCCATTCATTTTTCTCATTTTGGTTTATATATATTTAATAACCACCCAATAAGATTCCACACAACTGTAAAACACTGTTGTTTGTAGTAGTTTTTTTTTTTTACCTGATATTTCTTTTTAAATTCTAATAAAATCATTTCTCAGACACACAAACAAAAAGCCTGAAGTATCTTTTTTTTCAGAGAGCTGGAATTCACCCTTTAGTCGGTTTTATCACTTCTGCGCCAGGTGGAAACATGAAAACAATCAGATGAACAAATGTTCACACAAATGCCAAAAAGATTCAGTATCACAAAATCTATTTTGAATTGATGAATTCGCAGAAAAGGTCGACAGAAGAGCCAATTTATGAATTTACAGTAGTACAAAAGCATGTATGCACCCAAAGACACATAAACAGGCACATGTGCAAACACAGTATGATTAAAAGCCAAACCTATTTTGAAATAAAGCTCATCATTCACCCATACTATTAATTTCATCCAGATGCCATTTGTATTGTACCTACCAACCTCTGCCGAGCCTCTCAGTGACAAAATAAATTAAAATGTCCTTGCAGGTTGTTTCCTCCAACAACTGAACTGGTGTGGCGACACTAATAACGCCTTATTTTGTTTCACTTGCACATATACAGATGGATAGATCTGTTTCATACTCTAATGTACTGCCCTACAAAGGCAAACCGCAGTTCTGACTGAATTTTAGCTTTTAAATGTCTGTTTAATCTTGTGACAAATCGTCTAAGTTCAGTCTTGCTGTATGTTAGAGAAAAAACAATGTAAAAAAAATTGCATTAACTTCAAAATCCAACCAAAAAGCAAACCGCAGTGAGTGCAGTTACTGCGCTCTCCCCCGGTTTAACAGAGCTTCGGCTGCAGTTACAATTTCAGGACAATGTACAATGAATCAAAACGAAGCTTCATGTTCTCCACGGGGAACTCTTACTGACTTCAGCTGTGAATTATTAGCTGAGCTCATTGTAGCAGATACTAATAATAGTTCAGATATTACTGCGCTAGAGATAGTTAGGTAGACAGGACAAGGTATTACTGTGTTAATTAAAATAAATGTGCCACAAAATAATATTAAAATATAAATGATAATACACTTTGTACACATGAAACAATAAGAAATATTAGTCTAGAAGAGAAAATAGAGAATTTAATGGTGCATAGACAGATTCATTTGCTCTCACCACCAACGCTGCTGGCTTACTGGTATGCTTGATCTGCGGCAAGAACACACGTCTTGCGGCTCCAGACAAATTTCATTCCTTTGGCCAAAACGGCTCTTGTGATGGTAAAGGTTGCAGAACTCAGTGCTAATACAAAGACAGAGTGCAGTATCTGCATTTTGGGGGCCACAGGTCAAATAACTGGTTATTTTTAAACAATGAAAATTACCTAGAGAATATAAATTTAATAAGCACATAACTGTGGTTCTATATAAAACACATTTGGCTGGACTGTAAAAAGAAATTTGAAGATGTTACATTGTTAGCGTAGTTACTGCGGTTATGCTTTGGCGGGATAGCACAGAATAGTATTTAGACTAGTTCATTTGTTCTTCTTTCACTCCACTGTATTTGGTTATGGGGCAAAAAACAAAAAACACACACCTAAATAACAAATGACAGTTGGATGAAATATTGGGAAAATGCATTTTCATTAGTGCTTATTGTAAGATATGGCAGGCATAATGTAGTATTGCATTAACTCCACTGTACTGGAATGCATAAAATAACATTTATTTCATCTGGTACAGCACTAACAGTGCTGACACAAACTCTTTCATCCCTTAATCAAAACTTCTCTTGAATGAAATCTTATGTTATCAAAGACAAAATGACAGACTTCAGAAGTCAGTTCAAGTTCTGTTGAGTGTTTTTAGCATGTAAAGCATTACACTTGGATCACTGATTTTATCACAAAATATAACAAAGCTGCTACAGACACTTCTCTTTCATCCATTGAAGCTGATTTTCATGATGCAATCTAACCCCCAACTCACTCATCTTCCTGACTCATTTCTCTAAGGCACTCCTTTAAGTTTTCCACTCGGTCTCTATTGTTTTCTTGAGCGGCCTGTATGGCGTGCTCCAGCAGCCGCCGCGCCTCATCCAGTCCACCAACCTTTGGCGCGTTGTGGCGGTAGAGACACCCGCCCAGCTGATTGTCGTGGCAGTCCGGAGAAAGCATGCCACACAGGAAGCGCAGGAACATGTCGTAGTGGCCCAGCGGGGAGCTGAGGGTTCGCTCCAGGGCACACTGGACCAGGCCTGCTACTGATTTGGTCTGATCCTTTGGTGTGAAGATCTTGGGCATGTGCAACCCCCCGGAGGCCAGAACGTTCTTAGACTCTGAGCGAAACATCGTGAAGACATACAGAGCAGCTATGAACTCCTGCAGGAGAGAAGACGTAGGGTGATTTTCAGATGATTTTTTGGGGATATCCTGGTTGCCAGGCAGCCTGGTAAGGGCATGAGTTCTTCATCCATTATTAAACACCCAGTGACATTTACATGCTTCTCTTTTCCCTTCTAACACAAAGGGTAAAATATTTTTGATTGCACATTTTGTTTTAAAAATAATTTTTTTACTCTGATTTGGAGTGACTAGCTAAACTCACTTCTTAACAACCTCTGAACCAATCTATCAATGCAGAAAGAAACAGAGAAACATGATGTAAGAGCCACTTAAGATACATACCTTTAGGTGATAAAATATGTTTTTACTATTATTATTATTTACTAATATTATTTATGTTCTGATATTTAGTTTATAGTCAATTCAATACACCGGTCAGCCATAACATTATGACCACCTGGGCATCCTGGTGGTTATAATGTCATGCAGCCCCAACAAACTATGATGCACTGTGTGTTCTGACACCTTTCTATCAGAACAAGCATTAACTGTTTCAGCAGTTTGAGCTACAGTAGCATTAAGGAGGATCTATTGGCAGAAATGGAATACAATATCCATAGATGTTTTCATATGTGTATAATCTTAATGTAGGAATCATATATATGTATATATATCATTTTTTTGTTTTCATGATATCATTTTAATTCTTAAAAACCCTATTGATTTTTGTATTTAAACCCCAAACTACTAGATTGTGAACTGAGGGCTATAATGTTGGCTGTCTCAGAGACTATGATAAATACAAATGCAAACATAATTAGACTTTAATTTACTCAGATTTTATACTTTTATTGTGGTGCTTTCTTTGTACTATCACAGTTTTGCTAAAATTTGATTTTCTTAAATAAAAAAAAAATATATATAACGTGTTGATTACAGTATTACAATATATATTGGCAGATTCTTGCCAATACATAGCCTTAACATAAAGGGCTGTGATGATGTGTAAAGTAGGCAGATTTTGTCGCAGGAAGAGCAAACAATTCCTTATATTTATGTTTTTGGTCAGCATTCATAACCCTTCAACTTGTATCTTGACCTGTTTTGAATTTCAAATATATGGGGCTTCATTTTCAATATCAGTGTTGCCTAAGGCAACCACAGGCACAGTGTGTCATAATAAAATCACCTCCTTTCCATTTGCTTGATTAAAAAATGTGCATAGGCACAGATTCTGTGAGGGCTTTGGTGGTCAGCCACCTGTGGGCAACTGTGACTACCCAAAGGAAATCATACTGTGGAGGGTATTTTGGATATGAGAAGAGTTACGGCAAATTAACCTAAATAGAAGGATGGATACATTCTCAATGTTTCTATCAACCTATTATGATACACATTTTGAAGTATAGCATGAGAGAAGGTTGATGGAATTGGTAACATTTGAAAAAACTTCCTCAACCTAAAAAAAAAATATGTTTACCTGCTGGAGGTGGTTTTTGCCTTTTTCAAAAAGGAGTTAATGTACTTAATGCACTTTTTGGAATGAGTTCTGACACTGTGAACATTTAAATCACATGACAGATACATTACTCTGTATTACTCTGTAATACATCAACAATCACTCCACACAGATCTGATAACCCTTCCTCACATTAATACATGAAACAAACAGAAATGTCAAATTTCAATTACTTTGTTGTTAGTTTAAAGTAGCTTTATCTCCAGGAGGAGAGGGAAGAGAGACAGATAGGAGCAGTGCTGGCCCAGCTTGGACTTAAGGCTGCTCCTGGCTAATGTCTGGTTTTGGACAAAATGGGACTCAAGCTGGCCAAGCAGCAGGGAATCAGAGACTGCTGTGCCCACATCTTCCACACAGAGACCTGCTCCATCAACATTCCGGATCAAGCACTCGATGGGCGGATACCCTGTTTACATCGATGATACTTAGTGCTCAAATGCAGTCAAACTGGATGGACACTTCGTATGCATACAGTAATAACTGTATTTATTGGTTTATTTTATTTATTAATTCATATGTATCGTTTTTATGTGTGTAGCATGAAGGAACTGCAAAATTTAATTTTGTTATACAACCTTGTGTTGTATAATAATAAACATATTTTCCAGATTTCTGGGAATGTACTAACCAGAGCGTTGGGCCCTGTCTTTGCATATGTGCATGGATGGGTTATGAGACAATGGGCTCCTGATGAGGCGCGTAAAAAGAAGACTTAAAAAAATTCAAGTTAAAAAGAAGGATTTAGGGAACTAAAATGCTGCCACATATTGAGTTTTTGAGGCTAGAAACTGGATTTGTGTTCAGCCACTGGCTTTGATGATAACATCCTAATCAGATGGATGTTGTTTGTGTATGTGTGTGTGTTTGTGTATACATAAGGGAGTGTGAAATCAATATCTGTGTGTGTGTGTGTGTGTGTACCAGGTCTGGAGGAAAGTGATTTGTTGGAATGTGTTTGAGGTTTGCCTGCAGGTTCAAGACTGGAGCAAATCACTGGGCTCTGTACTCCAAATTCTGATAATTTGATATCAAAGGAATGCAGGCGGATAAATAATATATGTACCAACTGTATAACCAGCCCACTTTCCTGGAGAACATGATGTGGATTTAACATGAAAACACTTAACGTGGAGTGGCTCTGTAAAAGATTTAACCCCCAACATGACAGCACACCATCATGATTACAATTGTCTTTGAAAGGGCATGCAAGGCAGGATGAGGATAATGGCTTCTCATTGTGTCTGGTGGAGCCAGGTATTCCCCGCATTCATTCATTTAGTGTCAAGGCTCCCCTAGGCGGCCATTTTGTGACGTCAAATGGAGTCACCTGAGGCCTGGCTCCCGATCAGTCACTATGTTGGGGTCACTTTGCTATCTCTGTCCGCTGGGACCCAAAGCCCTGCATGCTGTCCGAAATGTTATACAAAATATGGATTCACCCTCCTCTAACCCCTTGTGCTTGTGAGTACCTCCACCAATAACATTCATTTCCTACTTTTTTTTTTCCAGCTTTAACTTTCTCCATCACATACTAACCTTTAACCTTTACCTGAATGTCACCTAAATGTAATCTAAGTGCAAGGCATACATAAAGCTCTTCTGCCATTCACCGTGGCACACTGTTGCTCTCGTTCACACACTCCCGCCCGCTCTCTCTCGCTCTACAACACACACGTTACGCTCGCACATCACACACTTTTCTATTCCTTAAAGGATCTACGCTACTCTTATAACATAGCCTCTAAAGTTGAGGAATTAAAGTAACTGTAGTTTGTTGAATCCATGGTTCCCCAAGAAGTTGCAAGATACATAATGGAGGGATAATAAGAAGATTAAAATGATAAGAATTAAAGAAAAATTATACTTCTGTAAACACAAATAGTTTTTTTATCTGGTAAATAGTAAATGGACCTTTACTTCTATAGTGCCTTTCTAGTCTTCCGACCACTCAAAGCGCTTTTACACTATATGCCACATTCACCCTTTCACAC